CTCAAGCCCAGTCCTGGGATCCGATACTGGGGTGCTGGGCTCAGGTACTGGGGTGCCGAATCAAGATTTGGAGGTCTCTAACCCTCAATTTCAGCATTCGGGTTTGCAGCAGGACTTCAGGCTCAAACTCAGGTTTAGGCCCCTTGGAATGCCGGGGTTCAGATCTTGGAATTTGAGGCCTAAATCTCAGGGTTCGGGTCCCTAATAGTGGGTTCCAGAGTATAGATATGGGAATCTGGTCCCAGATTTCAAGGTCCCAGGCACAGCGTTCAGGGTTCAGTTCCAGATTTGGGGCTTTAGAAGCAAAATCCTGAGGTTCAGGCTCCAAAACTGGGGGTCCATATTTCCAAGTCTTGGGGTTCCAGAGACTGATGTTGAGATTCCAGTCCCAGATACTAGGTGTTCGGGCTCCAGGTCTTGGGGTCCCAGCCCCAGATCAGGGTCTCAGGCTCAGGTTTCCAGATCTCTGGATCCAATCTCGGGGTGCAGGCCACCGATGTCGGGGTGCGGGCCCTGGGTTTAGGGCGGCGTGGTCCCGGCTTGCTTCCCGGGCTGCGGCGGGGACTTGGCCCGGAGGGATGGGGGGGGGATGCGGCCGGGGGAGGGGGGCAGCAAGGCAGCCCCGGGGGCCGGGGTGGGGCGAGGCCTGGGCGAGGACAGACGGACAGACTGGGACACTCGGGGTGGAGACACCGCAGCGCAGGTCGGGGCGCAGGGGGGAGGGGCCGCGCTCAGAGACCCCTCCCCCGCCGGAGCCGGGGCGGGGGCCGGGCGGGGGCCGGGCAGGCGGGCTGGGTCCGGGCGCTCCCGCGGCCTCCTCGCCGGGAACCCAGGGCCGCGCGCGCGCCCGCGCTTAAAGGCGCAGGTCCCGCGCGTGCCCGCGCTTAAAGGTGTAGGCAGCCCCCCTCTCTCAAAGGCGCGCATCCAGCCCCATCTCCTTTGGAGTCGCCCTGGCGTTGCTTGGGAGCGAGAAAAAATCCTTGGATACAGAGAGACATAGAGAGAGACACAGAGACTGAGACAAAGAGATACACAGATTGGGAGAGACAGAGACAAAAAGATGGGCAGGTTTAGATCGAGAGACAGAAGTAAAATGAGAGAGGCCGATAGAGAGACAGAGATAGAAAGACACATATTCAAGGAGAGAGGAAAATACACAGAGACAGTGGGAGACCCAGAGAGAAACAGACAAGGACATGACAGAGATAGACAACGACAGAGACATGAGAAAGTCAAAGAGACAGAGACACGGGTGGGCCGGGGGTGGGGGTGGCAGAGACTGCACCGGGGCAACTCAGCTGTGAGGATGGGTATGTGTATTTGTGTGTGTTTCCAGTTCCCACTCACAGCTTTGAATATGGCCTTCCATCCCAGAGTCTCGGGCCCCCAAGCCTGTCTCCTCACCTTTGTCTCAGCACCATCTCCCTGGGATGTCCTTCCCCAGGTGGGGTTTCATTACATGGACCCTGCCCAGCAACAGGCCTGATCCTTCAGGCCAGAAAGGAGACTCTGCTCCTTCCCAAGTCTCCTTGCCCTGGCTGCAAGGGGGAAACTTGGCTCCCAGACCCTGTGCCCTCTGGAATTACAGCTAGACCTCGAGAAACACTGGACAGATAACCCATAAAGGATGGAAAAGATAGGAAATGGGACAGAGGCAGAGGACTGGACATGACAGGAAATGGGACAGAGACAGGGGGCTGGACAGGTTGACCCAGAGAAGTATGTCCACTGCCTTTCCCTCTCCCTAACTCGGGTCCATTGCCCCACAGAGGACTCTGCTAGAATTGTACTAACACATGACTCACCAGGAGTGGGGGCTGCCTGTCCTGACCATTGTGAGAGGGTAATGGAGGGGAGGTTGGGGCGTTCCACATGTCTCCTGGCACATGGTATCACAGGAAGAGGGATGTGGGTGGTGGTTCTACAAGCCTGTCCTGGGCACTTGGTTATAGCAATATGGGGGACCTGATCTTTGGGACCCCTAGTCTGAAGGGAACACAGTCTTGGCCTTTGGTCATAGTCCTAACCCTGGGGGAACCTGAACGGTCACATACCACCCCCCAGGGATGCCACCCTCCCTTCTGAGTAGAGGAGTAAAGCCACCTGGGAGTAGGAACATGGATGCACATCACCCTGCATCCCTATCTCTGCTGAAGGTTTCTGAAGAGACTTTTGGCTCCTTCCACTATGTGTATTGAAAAATTGCAGCTAAAATTAACTCAGCTCTAAGGCCTGCTTTTCCAGATCATTAGCAAAGTTCATCAGTGCTCCTGGCCCAGCATAGTGGATACCGGTTACTCAGACACTCAGAAAAAGGATGCAGAAGTCTCAGAGACACTACAGAAGTGGTGGAAGTGGGCAGATAGACGGAAATACGTGGAGACAGTCCAAGAGCAGAGTGGGATGAGAATTCAGTGGAACTTGCTGATTTGGGGGTGACCCCAGGAAATGGGCAAGCAATTGGGGGAGAAAGAGGCAGGGAGGAAGAAAGTTAATAGAGGGTGCAGGTGAAGAGCAGATTACCCCTCTTGGCAACTGGGGCTCAGTTCAGCTGGGGAACATTAAGGAACTTGTAGAACACATCAGAATTATGGTTCCTCCCCTTTCTTCCCCCCCTGCAAAATTTCTTCCCCCTGCCCCTGCATTTATACACTAGTCCTTAACCCCTTTGGGTGATGGTCATCTCTTTGGTAGGGGGAGAGGGTGGTACTGAGAGCCATCTGAGATCTGAGGCAGAAAAGCAGAGAGGGATGCCTCGCGTGAAGTAAACCAGTTGTCCTCACACTTTAGTTATGTTGGGATAACCTTAACAATAGATCTCTAGGCCCCAGTCCTAGAGTTTCTGATCCAGTACTTCTAGGTGAGGCCCAAACATTTGCATTTCTAACGAGTTCACAAGGGATGCTAATGCTGCGGGTCCAGGGACCACACTTCGAGAACCACTGGGCTAAACCAGGGACATCTGTGACTTCCATGCTGTCCACTACAGCACTTGACTTACAGGGAACTGTCCGCTACAGCTGTGCTGAAAGCTGGTGGATTGAGGGGTTTCGCTTTCTAAGCGTGTGCCAGAGAAACAGACATATTTAGGGACATAAAGCGGGGCTCGGAAACAGAGAGGGGCAGAGGCAAAGATGCTAGTTTGACATTTACTGGAGCTGTCTGGCCATGGTTGTGTGCTAAATGACTGCAGCAGAAGTGTCACCAAGGCAGTGTCAGGTCCTGCTTTCACTGAGCTCAAATTTCAAAAGTGAAAAAGACACCTCTCTAGACAGCCCAGAGTGATCAGGGCTGGGCTGGGAGAAGCTTGGGCTGCAGAGACTGGGACTGTCATGAAGAGGCCCGGCCACAGTGGCCAGGGCTGGGGGTCCCCAGTGCGTCCCCCAGTGACAGAGGATGCACTGGGCAAAATAATTAAGGGCTTTGATGGCAAAGCACAGGCCAGAGTGGTCAGGGCTCTGATGGAGGAAGCAGAGGGGTGTGGGGTCCCAGAGGCAGAGTCCAACCCTTTAGGTGCCCCTGCCCCCCCCTCCACCCCCAGTGACAGAGGCTTCCTGGAGGAGGGGACCTTTATGCTGAGACCTGAAGGATGAGTATGAACAAAGCAGGTGGGCAAAGGGACTCTGTGTTGTTTGTGTGCCCTCATGCTATAGCATGTGCAGTCTGGGGGGTCCCTGTGGTGCCTGACTCTGCATGTGCTGTGATCTCTCATTAGCTCCTGCAAGGGGATCCTGGTGGGATGGTGGTTTGGGGGGTTCTGCTTAATTGCCGCATTTACTTAATTACAACATCTGGAGAAGGGGACAAAAGCAGCGGAAAGAGCCACAGCAGGAAGAATGAGGTTAAACTGCCTGAGAGCTGAGGGGGCCTTGGGGGGACGGGGATTGCTCGTATACACACACAGAATCTGCCTGAGTACACACATACACATATCCATACATGCACATCACGGACTCAGAAGCTCACCAGAACACAGACACAGCAGGTGCAGGGAACACGTATACACCTGGCTTCATGTTCAAATACAGGGGACATACACAAGTGCACACCTCGTCACACACCTCTGACATACACACACACAGACTCACACTCAGACATGTGAGAGATCCGATGTGTAGAAACACACTCTGCCCAGATTCCCTCTTGCATGCGTGAGCCACATTCCCACACATATACACAAGAAACATATTCAGAAAGCCAGATCAAACACCTACAAGGTATGGTATGCACACACGTGCACACGGACATGTGCACATGGACATTCAAATCAACGAAGTCAGTCTGTCAAAAAAAGACTTTATAAACTTAGGCCCCTTTCAAGTTGGGGGACGTTTGAGCAATGATGGATGGAGGTGGTGTCCCTTTATCCTCAACTAGTACCCACCAACCCAAGTCCAGCCAGCAGGGTTCACTGGAATTAGCTCAGCTTTGTAATTAGCACATGAATTGGTACTGGGGACTAAGGAGTCACTTTATTTTTTTGTTTTATTTTTTTAAGATTTTATTTATTTATTTGACAGAGAGAGAGAGAAAGAGAGCACAAGCAGGGGGAGCGGGAGAGGGAGAAGCAGGCTCCCCGCCGAGCAGGGAGCCCGATGCGGGGCTCGATCCCAGGACCCTGGGATCATGACCTGAGCCAAAGGCAGATGCTTAACCAACTGAGCCACGCAGGCGCCCCAAGGAGCTCACTTTAAAGGTTAGGTCTGAAGGTGCATTCCCATATGGATGGGTCAAAAGAGATGGGCAGGAAGATGAGTACATCCTCCCACCCTCCCAGACATATACACTAACCACCCTAAGTCAGACTGATGGATCTCTGGCAAGCACTGACTTCTACAGGGCAACCACAAGATCCTGTGCATGAGGCTCTGCTTAACTATGGTAGAAGACCCAACGCAATGTTCAGGGTCTGCTTTAATAACTCCCAACTGTCAACCTGGAAGAGAACTTCCATAAGAACACAGGGGAAAGTTTACATTTGTGCAAAGAATGGAGGGTAATATACTGATAACTTTTAATTAGTAAACATAGAGCCTTTGGGCCACTGTATGAAACTGCTATGTGAAAGCGTGAACATCACAACTGGGGATTAGAGGCTCATTTCACTGAATGATAGGGGGGTGCCCAAGGTTTACTGCTGTCAGGGGACCAGAGAGGAAGGGTTGGAGTATCAGTGCATATAATGTCAGCTACTGTAACAAAGAACTCTCTTGATTTCAGTGACTTCATACAATAGTTAATTTCTTGCCACAGGTGTCCTGCTTGGTTGGCAGCTGTCCTCCATCTGGTGACTCACACAGCATACTTGTTAATCTTATGCCTCCATTATTCCCTGGGGCTCAGAATTATCTGCTTCCACCTGGCAAATGGGAGGAGACAGGGTGGAGAAATTTCACTGGCTTCTTAAAAAACTTGGCCCAGAAGTGACCTTTGATAAATCTCCCTTCTGCCCATATTTTATTGGAAAGAACTAGTCACGTGGCCACCCCGGATGCAAAGAGGGTTGAGAACTTATTCCCAGGCTGGGCAGCTTCCTCCCAGTCACAATTATGCAGAGTATATGGATTATAATGGACCCAACATCAACCACCACCAGATCTGCTGCCTTGGGGGAGGCAGCAGGAAGAGGAGGTGGGATCTCCTTCCATCCACTATACCAAATCCTGCTCCAGGGAGACGTCTCGGCCCCACCCTGAACACCCACCCAACCACCTACACTGGGCCCCGGCCTTTGGGCTGGGTGACCACAAATTTTACTCTTTTGAGGGCAAAGTGAATATGGCTTGATTTGCTCGATCTTTAGGTCGATGCATAAAGATGATGGTGAGCATCCAACATTCTTTTCCCAAGCATTTATTGAGCCCTCACTATGTGCTAGGCCTGATGCTGGGAACACACCTGTCAGTCAGGTACAGTCCAGGCTTTGGAATTTTGTCTCCTCAATAGGCAGAAAGAGAATAGGTAATTTCTGAACTGTGGTTGTCGCTGTGATATTCTGTTATGAACAAGATGGGGGAGAGAGGAGGGACAAGGAAATCAGCAAGGCTACCTGCCGGTGCATGACAGTGGGGTTGGGGGTGGGGAGGTTCAGTGAAGGGATGAGGGCAACTTTTAAGGAGGAGGTCACCTGGCCCAGAAGCGGGTAGGGCTTTCTAGGTGTAAACATAATCCCTGTGTGCACAGATCTGTGTGCTAATCAGAAACTAGTGATTCCAGCTTCTAACACAAACGACTGTTGATTCAAGTGCTAATCAGAAATCTGATCTCTGGGAACATAAACCCGTTCTGATTCATGTGCTAATTATAAATCTATGCTGATTGTAAACTCTGTCCTGGAGCAGGGCTAAATCACAAACTTGGGCAGAAACATAATCACCAGCTCAGAGATCCACATACTAATGGCCATTTTGAGTTGATTCATGTGCTAATTACAATCTTGGGCTAATTTACCAGAGTGATCAGAGGGTGTTACAGTCTTAGTGCAGAAAAGCACTGACTGGGAATCCTGACAGCCTAGGTTCATATCCCAGCTCTGCCACTGACCAGCTGAATTGACTTGGGCAAATTATTCCCTTCTCTGGGCCTCAACTTCATTCTTGTAAAGCAGGGGCTGATAGTACCTCAACTGGTTGTTCAGAGGATTAAATGAGATGGTTCATGTAAAAAGCTGGGAGCAGTGCCTCACACATAAGTACTTACTCTGTAAGTACTAGCTGTAATGATAACAATAATAATTTCATTTAATCTTCATAGTGGGCCCTACCTCCAACTTCTTCACCACCACCACTCTTCCTTGGTCCAGGTCCGGGGCCCTCCCCTCTGGAGAGGCCTCCCAGAGGTTCCCAGGGCAACCCTCAGCGTCCCCCAGTCCGGTCCCGGCTCGTGACCCTCTCAGCCCTAGTCCCAGGTTTAAACATAACCTCTCATCTGCCATGGGGGGGCAGCAACACACCGCTCAGCCGCTGCGCGCGCGGTGCATTGTGGGGCACGTAGTCTCGTGCGTGAGTTAAGCGGTGGGTTTAGCCTAGCAAGCAAACTGCATTTCCCAGAAGGCTACGCGACATCCCTGCCTCACCTTGCTCAAATATGGTGGCTGAGGCCTCGCCCGCTCAGAGAGTGCGCTTCCAGAGAGGCGCGGGGGATTGTGGGGTGTCAGAACTGAGCCCCGCGGCCGTGGGGGGGATGCTGCGCAGGCGCGGGCGGTTGGTCAAGCCAGATGGACCTTAGCGGGTGGGTAGGGGCGTCTGTTCTGTCCCAGGAGTCGCAGCCGCTTGGGGGCTGCGGGGGGGGGGGGCCCGGGGGGGGGGGGGGGGGGGTGGGGCTGCGCAGTCCCCTGACAACCAGCGAGACACCCCCGCGCACACACACCGTGTATGCCCCGGAGCCAGCTCAGCCGCCTGCGGCTCTCCTGAATCTCCACTATTCCTTGTCAGCTCTCGAGCCTGTTCATGGCACTTTAGTCTTTTTCTTTTTTAAAAAAATTTTATTTCTTTATTTGAGAGAGAGAGTGAGAGAGAGAGAGCATGAGAGGAGAGAGGGTCAGAGGAAGAAGCCGACTCCCCGCTGAGCAGGGAGCATGGCGCTTTAGTCTTAAAAGAAGAAAAATCCCTTCCCCTTCTTTTCTCTCTTTTTCTTCACAGCTACCCCTCTATCCCCTTTAAAAACAAAAAAACCCAAAAAACTTCACATTATGGTAATGTTCAACCATGCATAAAAACAGAATAGTGTAATGATCCCCCAGGTACCCATCACCTTTCCTCAACAATTATCAACATATGGCCAATCTTGTTATGTTTTTTCTGCCTCCCTCCCTGCAGAATTAGTTTAAAGCAAATCCCAGACATCATATGATTTCATCCACAAATACTTTTATATGTATCTCTAAAATACAAGTTTCTTTTTTTTTAAAGATTTTATTTATTTGACAGAGAGAGAGCACAAGTAGGCAGAGGGAGAGGGAGAAGCAGGCTCTCGCCGAGCAGGGAGCCAGACATGGGGCTCGATGCCAGGACCCCAGGATTATGACCCGAGCTGAAGGCAGCCGCTTAACCGACTAAGCCACCCAGTCGCCCCTAAAATACAAGTTTCTTAAAAAAAAAAAAAACCCACAAACCTTTATCACACTTAACAACAAATAATTTCTTAATTTTATTTAATACCCAACTTGTCTCCAAATTTCCCTGATTGTCTTATAAATGTCTTAACTGTTGACTGGTTCATATCAGACTCCAAACAGGATCTATGTGTTGTGTTTTGTTGGCATCTGTTTAAGTCTTTTATTCCAGCGCAGTTCACCCTCCCTCTCATTCATCTCATAGTCTGACTTGGCTAGTTCCATTTCTTGGTGTCATTTATTATGTTCTTCTGTGTCCTGTATGTCCTGCAAAATGGTAGGTCTAGAGTCTGGGTCAATTTCAGGTTTAATTTAGGGGTAAGTATACTTCATGGGTGATGGTGAGTTCTTCAATCAGGAGGCACCTAATAATGTCTGGATGTTTCTTTTGTGTTTGTGTTGTTAATATCCAATGTTGGGTTTCAGTGTTGTCACCCTGATCCATCCATTATAGTAACATAGCCAAACTTCAGGAGAGAAGTGTCTACATGCCCTCCCCTCCACCTCTCTCCCTCTGTTTCACAAAAAACCCTGATACTTTTGTGTTGCTAAAGCTCTTCCCTATACCTAAACTCAAGAGGCAATTCTCTATCCTCAACACTGGTCCTACAATAACAGAGAAAGAAAAAGAATGTAAAATATCTCAAGAATTGTAAAAACATTAGTAACATGTAGGGGCGCCTGGGTGGCACAGTCAGTTAAGCGACTGACTTTTGGTTTTGGCTCAGGTCGTGATCTCTGGGTGGTGAGATGGAGCCCTGTGGAGCTCCATGCTGAGCACGGAGTCTCCTTCAGATTCTCTCTTCTTCTCCCTCTGCTCCTCCTGTTCATTCTTTCTCTCTCTCAAATAAATAAATCTTTAAAAAATTTTAAAAACATGGGTAACTCGTTGAAATGATAGTATTTGGGATATATTAATAATAACATATATGACTGAAATATTTTATTAAAATACTTTCACCTTTTTGTCTTTTTAGCCATGGCCACTAGAAAATTTTATTTTATTTTAAAATGTATTTAAGCAATCTCTACACCCAACATGGGGCTTGAACTCATGACCCCACGATCAAGAGTTGTGTGCTCTTCCAACTGAGCCAGCCATGTGCCCCTAGAAATTTTCAAATAACACACGTGGCTTGCCTTATATTTCTATTAGAAAGCATTGTTTTAGACTTAGTGGTTTTCAAAGTGTGATCTCTGGGTCTGCAGCAACAAGAGTAGTATCATATGACAACTTGTTAGAAATGCAAATTCTCTGTTGCCCTAGACCCACTGAACTGTAATCTCTGGGGACAGGACCCAGCAGTCTGCCTTTTAACAAGTCCTCCAGACCAGTCCTGTCTGAAAACTCCCCTTCTGGTTTCTGTGACACAGCTCCACCAAACCCACCCACTTCTCACTGCTCTACTGTTAACACCCTGGCCCGAACCCCATTCAGCACCACCTGGGCTACCGCGATTGCTTACAGACTGGTTTCCCAGCCTCTAATCTTGTGTCCTACTTGGCGTCCTTATACTATACTTTTGGGGGGAGGTGTCTTTCAAAAACATAAACCAGATCATATTACTTCCCTTCTTAAAACCTTCCAACGGCGGGGGGGCGCCTGGGTGGCTCAGTTGTTGAGTGTCTGCCTTCGGCTCAGGTCATGATCCCAGGGTCCTGGGTTCGAGCCCCGCATCGGGCTCCCTGCTCAGTGGGAGGCCTGCTTCTCCCTCTCTCACTCTCCGAGCTTGTGTTCCCTCTCCCGCTGTGTCTCTCTCTGTCAAATAAAATCTTTAAAAAACAAAAACAAAAAACCTTCCAACGGCTTCTCATTGCGCTTAAACGGTAAAATCCAAGCTCCTTCCTGTGGCCACGGCAGTCTCTCCAACCCCACATAGTCCTTCAACTTCCCTTTCACTCCTTCTGGCCCAGCCATCCCTTCTCGCTGTTTCTCACACACTTCCAGCTCTTTCCTCCTGGCTCCAGGACTTTGTGACAGCCGCTCCCTCTTCTGGGAACAGGGTTCTCCCAGATCTTTGTAGGCCTGGCTCTCTTGTGCTTGAGGTCTCTCAGCTCAGGTGCCCCAACTCGATGCTGCCATTATGTCACCCCAACTAAAGCCTGACTCCCCCACACCCACATTCACACAATATCACCCACCTTTCCTTCTGCATGGCATGTTCCACACACTGTTCTTCCTCTCCTTCATTCGTTTGTCTGTCTCCCCCACTATAAGGTAAGCTTGCAGGGCAGGGACTCACCTCTCTTGCTTACCACTTTGTCCCCAGCTCCTCACACAGTACCTGCACACAGTAGGTGCTCAATAAAGGTCTGTTCACTGACCTAGTAAGTCCTCCTCCTCAGTCTCTCCTGCGGCTTCTACCTACTCTGAAGTAAGAGGACCATTGGCATCCAGAGCATTTGAAAAATCGGAACACCCCCATGACACTCTTGATTTCTGGCTTCTGCCATATTGGGGTATCTGACAACATGGAGCCCACTTTTCTGCTGGGCACAGTGGGCTGGAGCTGCTATACCTGTAAGGGCCTGGTGCAGATACAGATATTAGAACAGAGGGACATTAACACAAGGAGGTGGTTATGCACCAGGTGGAGGAGCTGGGGGGCCAAGCAGGAGCCAGTGAAGCAATCAGAAATTAGCAGCACTGTCACCCCAGGCTGGAGCAACAAAGGGAGGAGGTGGTATCAGCAGATCCCTGAGACAAAGTCACCTAAAAGAAGCTGGAGACCCAATGGGATTGTCAAGCTGGCTGGAGCTTCGAGGAGGCACAACAACGGGGAGAGGGATGACTTATGGCCTCTTGCTCCCACTCTCCGGGCTCCTGCCACGGCTTCCCACTGGCAGAACCCCGGATAAATCCAGATAAACGGGGAGACGGGGAACTGTGGCTGGGATGCAGGCAGAAAGGGGAGGATGGGGGACAGATCTGGGGGCAAATACAGCCTAGAGCAGCACAGCATGGGTTCCCTGGTAAATCAGGGTCCGCACCATGCCCTGTTGTCCCACACCAGGCCCTGCTCACTGGCTTATATGTCTGGCTGCTGTAGGATGAGGGTCAGGGTAGAATTTGCAACCCCAGTGTTTCAGTTATCTTTTGCTGCATAACAAATTATCCGAAAATTAAGCAGTTTAACCAACCGTTTTCTTTTTCCTCTGACCGTACGGATCAGTTATTAAAGAAGGGCTCAGTGGGGCTGGGCTGGGCTTCCTTCGGTTGAAGTCAGATGCTGGGTGAGGCTGGAGTCATTTAAAAACTCGACTGGCCTGGGTGGCCAAGGTGGCTCACTCACGTAGCTGGCAATGTTGCTGACTGTCAGATGAAAGGTCAGTGGGCTGTTGACCAGAGCAAATACACCTGGCCACTCCAGCATGGTGATCTTACATGGCGGCTGGCTTCTCCGAGCGCATGTGTCCCAAAAGATCCAGGACATTTTTTTTTTTTTCTGAATTTATTTGGTCAGGGAGTTAGCTATTGTTGGCAACCGTCACGCCATTCCCTTCTTCCACATTCTGTTGACCGCATCTGTTCCCAACACCTGCTCAGATTCAAGGCCGGGGGGTGGGGGAGAGGAATAGACTCCACCCTTTGAAGGAAGTTGCTGGGAAGTCAGATGGCAAAGGGCAGGGAGACAGAAAGGTGAAAAATTAGAGTAATTTTTGTAGTCTTCCAGAATCTTTGCTTCATGGAGTATATTAGGTAAGGTAAATTACTAGCTACTGTTAACCAAAGAACCCCCAAATTTCGGTGGCTTAATTCAATC